TATGTAATATGAGTTTTTCACAAAAAAGTAATCGAACTGAAAACAGTCTTGTTCACATTGGTGAGAAACCTTTTTCTTGTAGTATATGCAACAAGAGTTTTTCGGGAAAAAGTTATCTAAATGAACACAGTCGTGTTCACACTGGTGAGAAACCTTATTCTTGTGGTATATGCAACAAGAGTTTTTCGCAAAGAAATCATCTGGCTAAACACAGTCGTGTTCACACTGGTGAGAAACCTTATTCTTGTAGTATGTGCAACAAGAGTTTTTTGAAAAAAAGTGATGTGGCTAAACACAGTCGTGTTCATACTGGAGAGAAGCCTTATTCTTGTAGTATATGCAACAAAAGTTTTTCGCAAAAAAGTCCTCTAACTGAACACAGTCGTGTTCACACTGGTGAGAAACCTTATTCTTGTGGTATATGCAACAAGAGTTTTTCACAAAGAAATCATCTGACTAAACACAGTCGTGTTCACACTGGTGAGAAACCTTATTCTTGTAGTATATGCAACAAAAGTTTTTCGCTAAAAAGTCCTCTAACTGAACACAGTCATGTTCACACTGGTAAGAAACCTTATTCTTGTATTATATGCAACAAGAGTTTTTCACGACAAAGATATCTAACTAAACACAGTCGTGTTCACACTGGTGAGAAACCTTATTCTTGTTGTATATGCAACAAAAGTTTTTCACAAAAAAGTTCTCTAACTTTACACAGTCGTGTTCACAATGGTGAGAAACCTTATTCTTAAAGTATATTCAACAAAAGTTTTTCCGCAAATAAGTTATCTGTCTAAACACAGTCTTGTTTACACTGGTGCTAATCCTTATTCTTGTGCTATATGTAATAAGAGTTTTTCATGCAAAAGTCATCTGACTAAGCACAGTTATGTTTATACTAGTGAAAAACCATATCTGTGCAGTATATGTTATAAGAGTTTTTCACGTAGAGGTCATCTGACTGAGCACTTTGTGTTCATACTGGAGAGAAGCTTTATTCTTGTTGTGTATGTAATAAGAATTTTACTCACAACAGTAATCTGGTGAAACACAGCATTGTTCATGCTAGTTAGAAACATGATTCTTGTAGCTAATTCTTAACCCCGTATTCACCATTGACACTGACCTAACGCGAAACACCCAGTTCCGAAACCCCGGTTTGGATATGTTGACCATGAGTTGAAAAGTGTATTTTTCATTATTTTTTGTCAGTCTGTTTCCTAACTAGGGTTTTCTTAACTCGCTGCTAACTTGCACTCCGGTGTTAGATTTACAGCTTTATTAACTGTGATTGTTTTCAATTTTTGCTGCTTTTTAAAACAATTTTTCTATGAAGGGATTAAAAAGAGATTGCATTGAGTAATTAAATTTTAATCACTCTTTTGCTGGACAAATGAAAAAGATGTTAAGTTTTGTTTTCCTAACTCAGTTGTATAGATGAGCAAAAGGATCTAAGTATTATAATTATGAATTTAATATTTTTTTATAATGGATATCATAAAGCTTCTCACAAATATAGAAATATTACTGAAATTTAATTAAAAATACTTTTATTTTAAACAAGGATCAAGAGGATTATGCTACATCATTCTCATTCTTATTCACCTTTTTAATATTTAACATATTATCAATAACTTAAACCATTGAGAAATTTTTTTCTTTTTTCTAAAAACTTAAAATGAAATTGTATAAAATAAACTTCTCTGCTCATATAAGCATAAATCAATATATTCCTATCATTCAAACGAAGCTAGAAACGACTATTATTGGACTGCCGATGATAGAGAGGATTACCGTCAGGGATATGATGAGTAATATAACAATTTTTTTAAAGGCAAATGTCATAATATGAACAAATGTTTCAAAACTTTTAAAAAAATCATAAATTTAAAAATTTTATTATTTAAATAATTGTAAATAAAAATATATCAGTTGTATATGCACCAGATGTCATAAAGCCATATATTTAAAAAAAATGTTAAGTAAAGACGGCATATTAACTTCATGTAATATTAAGCAATTAATCTCTCCCAAATGATTAAACTTTTACCAAATATTCAGCTGATTATTAGATAGTTATAAAATTATAAATGGTTATTAAAGTTATTTGATGCAGATTATTGTGTAGTTAAAATGTTACCTCGCATCAGGATTTGTATTGATTACGTAATATTTATTTCAGCATAATTTTTATTATATGTTTTAAATAATGTTATTATTATATATTAAAAATAATGTAAAATAATGTTTTTTAATTCTATTAATAGTTTTGTTCTATATATAAAAAAATTTAAAATGTCATTTGCTATCTTAATATCTAAATATTGCACATTATTTTGCCTGTTCATCTCTAAACTATAATTTATTTTTGGGCAAGATCTATCATCCAGACATATATCATTCAGATCTATAATAATTTTATAAATTGTATTCTCTTTTAAATTTTATATTTCTTTGAAGCATCGGTTTTTTTTTTCATTGAAAAATATAGATAAAAGCTAGTTAAATTATTTAGAATCTTATTATTTACACTATTCATTTGAATTATTACTATGGACACAATCTGAGTTATCTACATTTTTTTTCCGATTGAAAAATTATTTAAGTGCAGCAATGACTGCTAATAATAATTTGAGAAATATACATAATATCATCTATAGAATATATTAACCCCGGAAAATTTAGTTTTCATTTTATTAATAAGCATTTATTTGATATAAATTAATTATAGTTAAATCTAGTAATAAATTTACCTCACTGAACATCAAAAGTGCTAATTTTGAAAACATAAACAAATGAAAATTCGCCAACTACTCACCTACAATTACTCGAACCGGGATAATCTTCAGGTTTTAGTTAGTTAACTCTGGATCCAACTGACACGCAGTTACGTACATGGTGAGAAGAAATTTTGGAATCTAACATGGATTTGCTATCATAAAACCTGTGGGTTAGTTTCCATAGTGAATACGGTGTCAAGGAAAATCTCTGTTAAGGATTTTTATGCTTAATGTTCTGTTTATACTGCTGACTAACTTTATTCTTTTTGTAAGTTTATACAGATAATGTTTAAATGACCTGTTCACAATAATTTTCATTTTAGTTATTAATCTCATTGTGTACCTTTATTTAACAATTTTTATAGAAAAGTGTTTTCACTGTCTAGTCCAGAGTTTTTAATATCAAATCTGTTTGTCAAGAAGAAGAATATTTTTTTTTCTTTCAATTCAGTTGGGCTGAACTGATGTTTTCAGAATAATGCTTGCATATTATACTATCAAAATAAAAGATTTTTAATAAAAATTATTTTGATAAAATTTTATTTGTATTTGATACAACTTAAAATTGTCTAACATAAAAGTTATATCTTCTTATCAGAATGTTTTATACAATGTCTTAAAACTGTAATTAGAATTCATTTTTTGATGTTTTTAAGATGAATTAAGAAATAAATGATTTAAAATAAATAAAATATCGGAATCAATTATACGTTATTTAGTTTTAAGCATATAAAATTTTATTTTATCATTTTTTTAATTTTAAAATCCATATTAAAGCAATGTAGAATTGAACAGAAACTAGCAAAAAATAGCCATGATATCATACAATATCATAACAATAGGCTATAGGTAGGATACGACATCCCTTATATTTTTTTTAAAAAAAGGGTTTCCAATTTAAAATTTATTCTCTCCCAAATTCCGGAGTCTACATTTTAAAGACTAAAAGTTGATGACTGGTAAATTTCTTTTAAGTGTTTACCATAATATTTATAGTTCCTTGTAATATTATTGAAACATAATTATATGCCCATTTATATATAGACTTAAGAACATAAAATTTAGTACAGCGAATACTTGCTTCTGTGTTAAATAATAATTTAGGGATTCTTGTAATTTAATCAATCGATTCAAGTTATACCAACAAATACTAAATACACGAGGTAAAATTTTATGAAGTACTATGATCCGCAATGATTGTCATAAATACGGGGATTCTCATAAGTAGGAAATAAATGGTAAAAAAAATATTTAAGAATTCATTTTAATGCTATAACAGTTATTATAACATTACAGGGTTTTCTTAATTGAAATTGGTCGAAAAAGTTTAATTGGTTACATAGCTTTTAATGAATATCTCGTATTTTAAATTTTAACATATTCATTAATTTAAAAAAAGAGTGCTTTCAGGGAAAAAAATTATTTAAAAAAAAATAAATAAATAAATAACCCTACTACTACACTACTAGCTATTAAATTTGCTACGCCATAAAAGCGACACACCACGAACGTTAAATTTGCAGGACGGAAGAAGCATGTTGTGGTATGCAAATAATTAACTTATCAGCGCATTCCTGCAAAGCTAGCGGCGGTAGCGACATCTACAATGTGTATAAAAGAAGATTTTTGACAGTAAGTTTCCCATACAGAAATTGAATTTGAGTGTTGTTCTTGGGTAAAAAAGTTGTTATGCCTCGTGTAAGAAGGAAAAATGCCTACCAGCACGTGCCTGAGTTTGACCGAGGTCGAATTGTGGCCTACCGGGATTGCGGTTTATCATACCGAAGTATTGCTACTCCTGTTGGTCGAGATCCCATGACTGATAGCAGAATATGGAATCGATGGGTTTATGATATGGAACGCTGTGCAGGGTCCAGTTTCTTCTAATCTATCGTCAGTGAGTATTAAAATATCGAATAAATGGAATTATATCCACGAATATATTAATATCAAATTGGATGTAATAAATATTTTGGACATTCACCAAAGCGACTATGTGATTGTCAACATTCACTGGTGAAAGTCAACAACCACCGATTTTGGTCATTCACAGTAACATGCACATCATCAGGACGTTTATTTCATACTTTGCCTAAATAGCATCCGGCATTATATATAATGCCTAGGCAATGTGTGAAATATAAATCACTTCATACTTTGTCGGCTAGTTTTAGGCATTATATATAATGCCGGATTTCATACCTTGCCGGTAACATATACAAAGATTATCCCTTCATTACTTTTAGATAACAAAGCACACCATAATATTTTATAATTGTATGATCTCGATATGAGTTTCAATACGTAACTTGAAAACAGAATAGCAGAATTCTAGTTGAAATTATTCTTTCAAAACTAAAAAATACTTATCAAGAAAACGATAAAAAATTATTTAAAAATCAGCACAAATGATACTATTTCAAGTAATTCAGATGATTCTTTATTGTTGTTTTCCGAATTATATGGATACAGAAATATAACATAACTGTAAAGAAGTAGAATATTCTACAACTATTACAGTTCCATACGTTTTAAATTCACATTTATTTATTGGAATGACGAAAGCAATGTTGTCTTCACTTTAATTTCTTATGAATTGAAGACAGAAAAAATGTATTTTACCTTAATAGACTCATCTGTAACAGTATGCGATAGCGAAATCGGAAGTTATCAGTTGCAAGTTTGTTGATAATAAAAGTTAAAAATTATTGAGAAATTGTTCTTCAAATGCTTGGCGTGCTCTGCTTCAATGTTTGGAGTGTTCTGGCAACACCATCTAGAAGAGAGCAGGCCTCAGCACGGGTTACCATAAATATCCTTTAGCAGTCCAAACGCAATGACATATTTCGTATTTTCAACAACTGCGCAGCTTAGTACCCCGAACGTAATGACATCTTTCTTATTTTTCATCAGCTGCGCAGTTAACTTCGTCACATCGGACTACTAAATTGATCCGTGCTGAGGCCTTCCTACTTCTAGGAGGTGTTGGTTCTAGTCAGTTTTTTCTAGTTCTTCTACCTTTTCCTTAGGGAAATTTTGCTTCTTATTTGCTGGCAAGAAAATGGCGTCCGTCTTTGCCAATGATTATGATGGAACTAATGCCCGATATTTTCAGGCTCCCGCTAGAGAGCGTACTCAAGCGTTGCGATCACACTGTCAAGTATCAAGTGTAGAGCTGATACTTCAAACCAGTTTCACATTTATTCTCGCTGATATTTAGTAGACTCTTTAATAAATCCTTTAAAATATAAGCCAAAAATTTACAGAAATAATGATATTTTTTATTCTTGCACAAAAATTTAACAAATGTACTTAAAACAATTGAGAAGAATGCAGAAATAATGAAGAAATATTCTTAACATAAACATAAATTAAATAATATCAGCTTACGAAATAGTATTATTATTTTCGAACTGTATCAATATTAATGGAGCCCTCACCTGCTCCAGGGTGTAGGGCTTAGATGAAGAATGAAAAAATATATTTGTACATTTCACAAGATTTGAAAATTTGCTTCGATTATAAACGGGGATAAGGAGGTATTAAACAGCTCGGGGGGTGCGGGTGCATTTATTTTTATCCATGTAGCGATTAATTGCTTTTCTATTCTCTATATTGATTTTTTAGTCAACATGGCTTATTTTTTACTAGTACATAATTGCTAATTGATAATAATTTATTCTTATCTTATACATTAGAAAAAGAGAGAAAGAAACAATTTATTGATTGAGAATTGTACCAAAATCAGGAATATATAAAAAACATTTCTTCAAAAAATACACACTTTTTATGTTAATAAAATATATGGTATTAATTTCTAATTGCTTACATTTCTTAATTTATAGCATCGAAATATTTATTTAGATATACAGAAGAAAATTAAATAAATTTGATATGCTTAGTTCAATTGCATTGTATTATAAAAATAATTTCTCTGCAATATTAATATTTGAAATAAGTGTAAAAGTCAAAGTGTAAGACAATAGCCTAATTTCCAAGATTGGATTTGACATTCAATACTAAGGTTTCTTTATAGTATTTATGTCTAAATAGTAAGCGCGGATGTAGTAGAACACAGTAGTAGAGAAAAGATTATGATATTTCCTGCAAAAAAAAAAAAAAAAAAAAAAAAAAAAAAAAAAAAAAAAAAAAAAAAAAAAAAAAAA